AACACACACACACACACACACACACACACACACACACGCTGCTGTGACAACGAGGAGTGGGCGAGATATTATGTGAAGCTACCACGCCTCCCCCAGTCTCGAACTGAACAAGTCGTAATGCGGATTCCTACTGTGCGGAGAGGCTGCTGCGAACATTATGTCTTGTTTGTAAGTGCCCTTGTGTGTTGAAGTAAACAAGTCATAACGTGGATTCTTGCTGTTTGCACAGGGCGAAATGACACTATGTGTCCTGTGTGTATGAGAGTCATGCTGTGTAATAATATTATGTAGAATCATGTAGATGGCACCGACCATGTGCTCGAGCTTTTAACAGTATGTTTGAACTTGATTGTGTGCTCGAAACTGAGAGTATGTTCGAAATTGATTGTGTGCTCGAACTCTTGACAGTATGTTTGACCTAGATTGTGTGCTCAAAACTGACAGTAAGTTCGAACTTAATTGAGTGCTCGAACGTTTGACAGTGTGCTCGAGCTCTTAACAGTGTGCTCGAACTTAACTGAATGCTCGAACCATTGATGTTGCACTGAATCGTGACGGTGACAGGAGGCAAAAGCTTTTTGTTTTGTGTAGATCAAACGTTTATGGGGAATCAATTTAAGATTTTCAATTCGCCAAAGCTGCAATTAATGTTGTGTAGTTCAAACTTTACTCGCAATCAAAGTTATACAAGATGTATTAGCTTAGAGTAGTTTTACTTGGAACGAGTTAAAGTTTTTAAGATAGCCAAAGCTGCAAGCTTTGTGTTGGTTAAAATTTAGTCGCAATCAGTTAAAGCTGCTGGTTTGTATTGTTCAAATTTTACTCGAATTAAGCTACATTTAGCAAGGAGCCACCAATGAAAACTGAATTATTGGCTTGTCTGTACATAATAATGTTTACCAATTGCCGATTCGTGTAATAATCTGTCACCTTTGTTTGTGATGGAAGAACATCTTTAAAGCTTTAATGACTTTAAAGCTATCATTAAATCTATTATTTACTTGCTACCAGTCTTTCAATGGTCTATTACCAGCCTGTTAACTGTATATTACCAGTTTGTTACTAGAATATTACTAGTCTCTTACTAGTCTATTACTAGTCTGTTTCTAGTCTAGCTATACTGCACCACTTAGCAGTTTCTTTTGCAGCTAAAGCATTCATAGACGCGGTCAGATGTTCAAGTATGCAAAGCGCCATTGATTGTATGTCAATGAATCATAAATATATACATGCTCAGTGGTTTAAATTTTAATGTTGTGAAAAGTAACGGTGATTTTTTCCCCTTCAGAATCTTACCCAAGTTGAATTTGCACATAATAAACCCCCCTAAAATCCAGTAAAGATTTGAAGAGTTTCTTGATTTCCCGCACGCAGTTATCAAGGTTCACGTGACGCCACAACAATGGAGTTGCAACTCATCAATAAAGAGCTGACATTTTGTGGTTGTATCTAGACAGACGAGAATGAGCGTTATGTACACAAGATTCATCCTTGTCCGCCTGGCTCGCTGGCTCCGGCTCCAAAAGCCCCTGGCTCGTCTGCTTCTCCTGGCAGTCTTCCTCGTGGTCTGCCTGCACTTCTCTGCCAGGCTGATGACGTCACTTTCTGGTAGAGGAATCAGTCACGTGAAGACCAGGATATCGGCAGCTGGGAAGAGAGACCTTGATCTAATCTCGTTTCGGAAACTGTCTCAAGACTCTGGACTTGTCGGTGACGGAGACGGTAATGTTGGCAGTGACGGTGAAGGTGAAGGCGAAGGTGAAGGTGAAGGTCACGAGGTGTACGCCGGGTTCAAACTTTTGAGGAAAGTGCTTCTGAGCAATACAGAGAAAACAGCTGTACTGTCCGAGATACTCAAGGGGGATAGCCATTCTTCATCGCTTCCTCCTGTCTCTGCAGTTCTCACCTTACGTAATTTTATCTCTGGTCTTGAAGCTATGAAGTATCTACGAGGAGCGTTACAGTATCTCCCGGAACATCTGGTCACGGACATCATCATTGTTCTGGACATGAAAGCCAAAGAGTCGGAGAACACGGTCATTGAGGACGCGATGAGTGACTGTGAGATCTGTCGAGTGTTCATTCTGAACGGAACCGTCTACGAAAGCTTGAACTTCGCCGTCAATTTTGCTCGAAACGATTACGTCGCTTTCGTCGACTGTAGAGTCCAGTTAACGGATTTCTGGCTGGAGCCAATGGTGGCCAAACTAATTGTGACTCCTAGAGCTGTCGTCTCACCCAACGTCCGGCTGGCTAGTTCTGACGGAAGTTTGGTCAACCTGGGAGTGTACAGAACAGAGATCACGTGGGACCTGGGTGTTGTTCGAGGAGTGGACGATATGTTACTGCGCCTGGTGCAAAAGGATAAACCGCTCTTCATCGACCAAACAGCTGTGTCTAAAGAAGTGTTTGTAGTTCGGAAAGATTTTTTCGTCCGTCTCGAGCGTTTCGACATTTTACCCTTCACGTCCGGAGTAGAAGACGCTGCTCTGTCTCTGAAAGTTCTCAACTGTGGGGGGAATATTTTACAGTCTCGTTATTCCGTTGTGTTTCTGCCCATACCCACGGGCTCAGTGACCTCCAGCGTTCTGAGGATGCAACCGGATATTCTTAATCCTACTTTCAGTTTGCAGGAATACAAGATGGCCACTTCTATGTTGACTACGTCAAAGATTTGGATGGACGCCTTCAGCATACAGTACATGGCCTGCGCGGCCAAAGGTAAGCTGGACCCTTCTTTTTATCACTCTCGGCCTATCGAAAAGTCGTATGTCTTCACGGACTTAGACAACGATGGAGCACTGCTAAAGCGAACTCTGATCGCTATGACGTGCAAACTGACAAATTTTCGCTACATGATTCTGCTCCGTCAGCCAAAAATGACGGTCCCCGACAAGGACTCGACCTACTTCGGCTACATCCGCACCCTGAACGGTTTGTACGCTGTGGGTCTTCCGTCGACATCGCCAACCTCCTCTGAGTCGAGGCTCTCCGAGGAAGAACGCTACCAATACGTGTCTGATAACTTTGTTCTTACCCGCAACTCCAGTCTGTGGATTGGGCCTTTTTCTTACGCAAAAGGGAGTATTATTTATAAAAACAAGTTCTGCGTTACGTACACAACCGGAGCCTATTTGAGACTGACCAGGTGCTCGCCTCAGAGCCAGTACCAAGCATTTGTCTATAAACATAACTCTCTGTCTCTCGCGTCTGATCCGGACACATGTGTGGGCGTCAAGGGGACAGAGGATATTTCTGCGCCGCTCAGAATGATGGACTGTGGGACGAGAGAGTCTGTGAAAGGATTTAAGTTTGATGTACAATTTTTGGAGGACTGCGTAAAGTAATGTTAGAAGAAGAAGAAGAAGAAGAAGAAGAAGAAGAAGAAGAAGAAGAAGAAGAAGAAAAAGAAACAACACTGATCTTGTACATTTTATACCAGTTCTGAATTTGTAGTATTATCGTCTGTATCAATGTGGTGTTGTGAATTATGTGATGTTGATGTTACCTCCACCTGTTGGTTGTTGTTTTTTCAATTCGAGTGTTTTATACTTTCAAGTGCAATCCACATAATTTTGGGAAAAGGACCAATATGTTGTTATTTATTTCATTCAATTATTAACTTATCAAAACTCACGTGTGGAAACTATTGTTTAGCACTGGAGCGGAGAAATAAATGAAGACTCATTTTTGCTGATCTCTGCTTAAATCTATCATTTCGCTACCCCAAAATTACAAAGCTCTAGCGGCTCAGCGCTTAGTTTTGAGAAACATGACGTGGAAGATGTTGAGTTTCACAAGATGTGAAGCATTTTTTTGAATACTATTCTCTGAATACCTTGATAACCACTCCGAATAATAGTACAGTTTAATAGAGAAGACTCGTGGTCTTAGTAACCCAAAACGGCCAAAAATGTCAGAGAGAACTTTGTAATTCTGAGGTAGCGACTTCTGATGATTTGTGTACCAGTTTATCTCATTTGAGCTACTTCGATACAGATCCAGATCCTTGTGGCCAAGCAAGTACCTGAGCGACACACAACCTCACAGCAGACAGACGACGATCGAACGTCATCATAATTATCCTTGCATTTGTGTGGCATTGTGGCGAAATCAGGCGCTCGTCAAAATAATGAGATATGAGTGGCTGAATATTTATGGGCCGTGGAATTATCTCTTTCGATTTTTCGACGGCCACTTTGGCAATTTTTACTGAACTTTTATTTTTGGCTCAACACCTGTTATGTCCGTATAAAACACATTCTTATATGGTTTTACTGAAACATGTTGTCAAAAGGCACTAAAAATGTACGTTTTCAAGGACTCTCAATCTATTGGAGCTACCACACTTTGGCGAACATTTTCTTTCTAATTTTACCTCTGAAATCAGGCAACCCCCATCACCTTCAATCGCATTCCGACAATTGTTCTGGATAGATGGGTATTTTTTTCACCTTAAACGAGGCAAAAAAAAACCCACCCCACGCTTTCATGTTACCAAAAACTCCATACACCCAAAAAAATTCCAAGCACCTGATTCCACTCATTGTGACACATTGTACAGCGCATATCCACACTCTACGGCATGCTTTATGTGCTTTATAAGTTGTATTACCCCTGCAGGTCGTAGAACTTTCAGAAAAATTATCGGCTTCATCAAGTGCCAAATCTGCGACAGACACACATAGACGATCATGGTTCGTCATTCATTTCTTTGCGCTGGTGCTCTGAAAAGAAAATAACATCCATCTGCACTTTCCCGGTCATATGTTTGTATAGGCTTTCATGTTAGTTGCTTGTAGTCTATCAATTTTACCCATGAGAGCTAGATTTTCAAGGCTCTTATGTCAGTTCTATTTCCCAGAAACTGCATTAGTTTCTTCCCTATTGTTTTATCAGCAAGCAGCCCATACTCTTCAACTACTACCTTAATCGACTTGAAATCGAAAATATTCGATTAAATAAACTGCCGTTCGAAGAAACCGAACTTTCGTTCAAGGCGAAGACCCAGCATAGCCGTCACATTCCAACACAGAAAAACTTAGTAACAAACCCTTCCGTTATTCCAAAAATAAAAATAAATCCCACTTTATTGATCCCATTTGGGAAATTTGCTTTACAATGGCTTACATAAATATTTCAATCAGTGATCTCGATCTCAGTGCGTTTTGCCTGATTTCATCACTTTCACACCTTTGACTTTGACCCTGGAGCTCAACGCGTCGGGGTTTTCTTTGAAGTTCACTTCAAAAAGTATCAAACTTAATTTGAAAGCTGAAGCATAATCAAAAACAGATTTGAGTACCAGAATGTTAGATATGCGCTAAATAAAGTAATTTATATGTTTTCCCTCATTTCCCCTCTGCGTTATAGGCCTGGGACTATCACATTTAACCAGTAACTTTAGAGGCCGCTTTAGAAATGGATTGTTGTGTTATATTGTGAAAGATAAAAGCTGCAAAATGCCCTGGCTTGACCTGAGATCATTTTTTAAAATCGTGAGACGGGTAGCATGTTGAAGGCAACATTCTGGAGGAACTCATATGTCGTTATTTCTTTGTATTCAATTTTCTATGCAGTAATGTCCCTACAGGCGTACTCTGAGCCTTTTTGTGGTGGTTGGACGGAAGAGGATGACATGGAACGTGGTTTAATTTATTTTGTAGACTATTCTTTATTTCCTGCTAAAGCATTTCATTGAAGACAATTATATTGGCCCTTGAAGAGGTGGCAATGAAAGGATTCACAGCCATTGTTTGTGCGCAAACTGGTGTCCTGCCTGGCCCAAAGTGAAGGAGGAAATTTCAACGTGGTTTGTCAGTACTCTGGAGAAATGGTGAAATGGTATAGGTTTAACGCCCCTATCAACACTATTGGGTTGTTTAAGAGGCGGGGCCTCCGAGTTTAACGTCCATCTCCGAAAGGACCGAGCCAAATGGGAAATTCGTGTAAAGTGCTTTCCCAAGGACACAACATCGAACCGAGCTGAGGCTCGAACCCCCGAACCCGCAATCTCACGATTACGAGTCCGGTAGCCTAACCACTAGGCTACCGACGCCACCGAAAGTACTCTTTTTGCAGGTATGTTAAGAAGACATCAATAAGCTGGCCATCTTCAATCTCTGGTGCTTCGGCCATCAATGTGAGGAGGAAAGCATCTTAAACGTCAGCAGCATCAAGAGCTTGTAATCCAAAGAAGGCTCTGGAGGAATTCATATGAGCCTGTTAGGTGTTGGTAAGACGGAAGAGGAAGACATTGAATGTAGTCAGAGTCTGACTTGTACTCTGTAGCTAGACCAACTTTGGTGATGTACCGGTACCATGCCTGGGCGACTTGAAATTGGCAAGTCTTTACCAGTTGGGGGGG